ATCATTAAAATTATCGTTTATTTATCTGTACGAGTATCACACTCGTAAATATCTAAGATAATTTTTGCTTGTAAATACATAAAATGCTACTTGTAGTACGATAGTTCTAGTATTCTCGATACTCCATAGAATTACGTTTAATAACCTGTGGAGTTAGGCCTTTTTTGCTACGGTAGAGTATCATAAGTTAATCTAGATTATAAACTCCGTGTGGTGACGGATTAAGAATACGGAGTGTCACCATTCATATTCATCCCGTGGGTGTCGATAGAGCCGACTAATGCCCGGTTTCTGAAGTTCCCAGTTATACTCTCATTAGCTATTGATACAATAAAGTTATGTATAGGATAAACGTCTGTTAACTGTCACTGCGTTTCTGAACACGCAATGAACCGTTCAATAACTATCAAACAGATAAGCAGTTCCATAATCTGCCGTTAGATGGGTCTGTTTAAGAGATCAAGTTTAAAATAGGTTTTATTATTTTAATTCAGGATTATTACTAGCTTTATTTACGAGAATATTTTATTCAAGGGTAAATAAGTAAATAAGCATTGTTTTAGTTATAAATTATTAAAATTCGCTATTTATCAGCGGATGAATGAACGACATCGTAGTCAATTATTATTTTTTAAATAAACGTCAAACTCATTGATGTCGTTGTAATGCTATGAAGATTTGTTCCAACACAGACAATGTATATTTGCGATCCATAGCGGGAGCTAGATCAGGGTTGATAATATCACTTAGGTGTATCACAGTGTTCTTGTCAAAGCGATATCTTAATTTAAATTCTTCATCCGTAAACATTTCGAAAGGATTTCTCCTACGTCTTAAGTTTCTAGGTACTGAAATATTAGAAATAAACTCCAATACTCCCAAATCAGACTCTGATGTGCTGCTCGTATTCATTACGTTAATTTTAATATTAAGTTTTCACTGACAATTTAATAATAACAGTTATAACCTAAAAGTTTATGTAATTTGCTTGAAGCAAAACGTTAAATAAAGTTATGAAATCGATAAACGGCACACATTGGTCAGTTAAGTTAACCTAAGATTAAACGGCGTTTATCTTACATTGCGATGTTCAGAAACGCACTTTCTTAGGTTATCGAACCAATAGCGCTAATGAATAGATAAACTGCCGTTAAAAGTTCCTCAGAAACCGGGCATAAGAGAGCAAATTACGCAGGACAACAGCACTGCAAAGAGACCGAAAACTTGAAACTAACCCTATACCAACCCGTCTGGCCAGCGTGGTATAGTAGACCAAAACCTTTCTAAGGAGAGGCCTATGTCCAGCAGTGGACTAATAAAGGCTGTTGATGTTGATGATAATTTCTCCGTGTGCAAAATTTCGTTAAAAAAAATAACCACTTCACCATAATAAGTAACTGCTGTTGCCCAGAGACGTGCATTACCACTCATGTGTGAGTTTCCCCCCGCACCCAGAAGTAGGAGAGAATGGTTTGGACGTTTTTCTTGCATTTGCATTCTCAGTTCGGTTTCCCCATCCGATACATGCAGTATCTCTTTCTTCAGCTCTTGAAAAGAGTAAAAATAATGGAAAAGTGGTGCAAATCAAATGAGGTAAGCGAATAAATAGTGTAAAATAATACAAAATGGCGGCGCACAAGTGTGTGCCGATAGCAAACGGTACGATATCAGAAGCACATTTGTCAAGCTTTTATTACACTGTATTAAATGACATAACACGTAGCCGAGTGATTATTTTATTATTGCTACCGACAATAACTGCTTTGTGGGAAAATATTATCCAAACATATCAAATTAATTTCCCTGACTAATTCATCAACGCAGAGTATAAACCGCTGGGGCCACGAACTTGAAATTTTGCCAGCTGATGCTCTTTATGTTGTAAGCACCCGATAAGAAAGGATTTTGGAAATTTCACTACTAAGGGGGTAAAGTAAGACACAGGTCTGTGCGTTCACCGCAAATAAGATACCATTTGTCGTATCACCTCGGTTTGAGAGCACCTCCCTAACTGTCTCGACATCGACATTCGAGCGAAGTCCAGTTTCAGGGTCACTTAGAGGGTAAGGTCAAATTGGCCTCGAAGAAGCTCGGTGTGCTGAACATAGCGAGGCAGTATTTCACTCCGGCCCACCGCCTTCAGCTCTATAAGGCGCGAGTCCCGCCGCATATTGAATACTGTACTCATCTCTATGCAGGGGCACCTCAGTACCAGCTTCTCCCTCTGGACCGCATCAAACGAAGAGCGACTCGAGTCTTCGACAGCCTAAAAATCTCTAATTTGCTCGATCCGTTGGCGTTACGTAGAGATGTGGCTTCACTCTGCATTCTCTATCGCATATATCATGGAGAGTGCTCCGAGGAATTGTTCGGACTAATACCAGCCGCAACTTTTTGCCATCGTATAATTTTTATACCCCGGCATAATTTTCATTCTCATCACCTTTATAGTTGGCGCTCCACTACTGTGCGCTTTTCGAGACACTTCTTGCCTCGTACTACCAATCTGTGGAACGGGTATTTCCGGACCGATACGACCTTCAAACCAACAAAATTTACGAAAAAAACAGTATATAAATATTCTACCAGTCAATCTAGCTTCTATAGTACAAGCTCTGGTTAGTTTGAAACTAGATGGCGTTGTGTGTAAGATGTCCGAAAATAATATTTATCTATACTAATATTATAAAGCTGAAGAGTTTGTTTGTTTGTTTGTTTGTTTGAACGCGCTAATCTCAGGAACTACTGGTCCGATTTGAAAAATTCTTTCAGTATTAGATAGCCCATTTATCGAGGAAGGCTATAGGCTATATATCATCACGCTAAGACCAATAGGAGCGGAGCACCAATGAAGAATGTTTTAAAAACGGAGAAAATTTATTACTATTGAGAGACGCAGACGAAGTTGCGCGGGTCAGCTAGTCATAAATAAAATTTAATACTTAATCTCTATTTATATTTAAAGTACTATACATACATACATATACTTGAAAAAATAACCTTCCTTTTAGCGCAGTCGGTAAGTTAAGTAAGTTTAAGTATTAACAAACTTGTATTCGACGTAATCTTTGATGTGAGGACTATTACAGTTTACAGCGTGACATAATAAACCTTTGTACATTACAATAACAAGCAGTAAAGATAAAAAAAAACATTAAATTAATTTATTACTTGTTTTACTTTTAATAGTATACTATTAATCATCATCTTCATCAATAGCCTTTAATAGTCCACTGCTGGACATAGGCCTCTCCTTAGAAAGGAGGTTTTGGTTTACTATACCACGCTGGCCAGACGGGTTGGTATAGGGCTTGTTTCAAGTTTTCCTTCTCTTTGCAGTGCTGTAGTTTGCTCCCTTAGTCGTCTCTTACGACACCCACGAGATGAACAGGGGTGGTGACACTCCGTATTCTTAATCCGTCACCACACTGATTAGATAATTAGATATTATATATTAGATATAAACTCTGTCCGAATGTGTGTCGACAACACGCAGTGTGGTGCGGTAGTGGTTTTTATTAAATATTTATAAATTACTAGCTGACCCGGCAAACGTTGTATTGCAAAACAAAAAAAAAATTAGGGATGGGTCACCCTTACCATTTAGGGGTATGAAAAATAGATGTTGGCCGATTCTGAGACCTACCCGATGTGCACACAAAATTTCATGAGAATCGGTCAAGCCGTTTCGGAGGAGTACGGGAACGAACATTGTGACACGAGAATTTTATATTTAAGATGTTCTTTTATAAGAATCTAATGACAATAACATGTAAATCATGTACAAAATGTAACCAAGTCCTTATTCGACAATTTTTGAAGAGAAAACTTCTTAAAGCGCGTTGGGCATTTTAAAAATCAAACAAAATAATGTAATTTTGTTTGTGTAACCTTCGTAGGATTCTAAACGAGATTTAAATTGTATTATTTTACGCCTACATTTTCGCAAATTGATAAACTTACCGAACTCTAGTCCGGTGCTTTCTTCAGTCCCAGAGCCGCCTCCTTGGCGAGTTGGTCGGCTCGCTCATTACGCTACAACCCGGTTAGGTTAGGTTAGGTTTTCTTCTCTCGTTTAGAATCCTACCAAGGTTTATACATCTGCGATTCTTGTTATTTTCCGGGCACATATATTTGACTAGCTGAGCCGCGCAACTTCGTCTGCATCTCTCAATAGTAATCAATTTTCTCCGTTTTTGAAACATTCTTCATTGGTGCTCCGCTCCTATTGGTCTTAGCGTGATGATATATAGCCTATAGCCTTCCTCGATAAATGGGCTATCTAACACTGAAAGAATTTTTCAAATCGAACTACTGTTCCTGAGATTAGCGCGTTCAAACAAACAAACAAACTCTTCAGCTTTACGAGTATAATATTAGTATAGATAGGTCTGAGAAAAGGTCGTAAGCAATTTTTGATACCCCTAAGTGGTAAGGGTGGGGTTTAAAAATAAGTAGCTGACCCTGCAAAACAACGTTTGCCTGGTCAGCTAGTAAATTATTAAAAAAAAAATAAGTCGCCGGTTTGTAAATTTCAAGTACGTATATATTTTAAAGGTGTTTTTTTGAGAACTTGAATGAAAATCGGTGTTTATGACTTTTCGTTGCTATTTCTTGTCAAGTACGTGAGGGGACACCACAGGCTTTACCACTAATCCATCCCAGACGCCCACCACAGTAACTCCTGTACACCAGGAACAACAGCAGTGACCCACGGACACACCGAGTTATGACACTCGGGAAAAAAAAATACTGTCTTGGAAACTGCAACGAAATTAATCAGAAGAAAATTGGAGGCGTTGGAAATACAGTAAATCCAATTCAATCCTTAGGAAAGCGGGAGACAAAACTTAAAGGACTTGGAGGTGTCCATTGGCAGCGTTAATCTCTTAACATCAAGTTGACCCTTTGCTCGTTGCCACGATACCATAAAAATTCAAGATGAAAGTAATTTTTATTTTATGATTATATTTTAACCCCAAAATAACATTAATTTCTAGATGCCATCGCGTCAGGAGAGAGCGTCCGTTTGGCACCCTCTCTGAGGAGTCAGAAGGGTGCGATCTGGACAAAACAAGCCGTCAGCTTTGACTGGTGGGAAGTGGACATCATGTTTAAGGTGACAGGTCGAGGGAGAATCGGAGCTGATGGTCTTGTAAGTACTGTTTAAATTACTTTAAAGAGCTTCCCTGACCCCTGATCTCCTCAAATTATTCCCCGATCCAACTATTCTTATCTCTGCACGGATGGCGTAGTGGTTTAAGCGGTCGCCTCACTGCTGCCTACTGCGCTGAGTGTTGTTGGTTCCACCCTACATGTAACAACACTTTGTGTGATCCACAAATTGTTGTTCTGAGTCTGGGTGTTCTTTGTTTAAAAAAAATACAATTCCTCAGAAAATTCTGGCAATCCAAACATTTTAATCAATCTTTTATACACTTTAACTGTTATTAAGGAAAATGTATATCGTTTTTCAGGCGTTCTGGTACACAACCCAGAGGGGAGACTACACCGGTGAAGTCTTCGGGTCTTCGGACAGGTGGAACGGTCTGGCTGTGATATTCGACTCCTTCGATAATGACAACAAACACAATAATCCTTACATCATGGCTATGCTCAACGATGGCACCAAGGTCTTCGACCATAAAAGGTGAGACATGAAACCATTTAGCGCCATCTAGTAACAAGCTAGATCCACTGCTCGTTACTAGATGGCGCTGTAACGTAGAAAGTCCTGTATCGCGCATAAAGTTCTTACAAATTACTTAAATTAATCACGCTACCTACATTAAAAGAAGATTTCAGTTTTTTTATTTCAAAATATTAAAAAAAAATGATAATGTTGAAAATAAACGAAGTAACTCTGAAATATTCGTTCATTCTTCATTCATACTTCCATTCATTCAATTAAATAAATAATAATAATAACTTAACACATCATACACACACAGCCATATATATTATAGGTATATTAAACTCAGACACGATTTTTTTATCCTGATTATAAATCGAACTCACAATAAAGATATTAAAATGTTTCTTGTTAAATTCCAGTGACGGAACCACTCAACTCCTGTCAGGGTGTCTCCGAGACTTCAGAAACAAACCGTTCCCGACGCGTGCCCGCGTTGAGTACTATATGAACACCCTCACCGTGTACTTCCATAATGGTATGACATCTATATTAGGAATACGGAGTATCACCACCCCTACTCATCCCGTAGGTGTCGTAAGAGCTGACTAAGAGAGCAACAGCACTGCAAAGAGAAGGAAACTATACCAACCCGTCTGGCCAGTGTGGTATAGTAGGCCAAAACCTCCTTTCTAAGGAGAGGCTTATGTCCAACAGTGGACTATTAAAGGCTGTTGATGATGATAAGGATGTAACAGGGCCCCAGTTCTGCTATTTTAATATTGTATTAATAGACTCAATGGAATGTCATCGGAATAGTTTTGCACTTTTCGTATTCTACTAACTTGTCACTGAACTGCCACTGATACAAATGTCGTCCATGTTTTTGTAATAGTTTGATAAAAAGTACATTTTAAATTTTTAAGGTGACTATATATTTATTTGCCTGATATGGCAATGTTGTTAATATCACCATTGATGAGCCATTGTCACTACATCGACAGTCTTTTGATACTGTGAATTTATGTTAGCAGAATACCGAAATTTTGACCGATGTCAAACGCGTCTCAATGGCATCTCAAAGCGTGTCAATGGAATGACTGTGACTTGTGAAATAGCATAAAATAGCAGAATTGAGGCCCTGGCCAACCCTACGCTATGATGACTATTAAATAAACATGCGAATACAACAGCGACGAGTCGAGACCGCTGCTTATTTGTAACTTCATACCCAAACTGCAGTGTAGATAATAATAATAATAATGTTTTTATTACTCAATAAAGTTACATATTATAAAACAGAAATGAGGTTCATATAAATTATGTACTACTGATAGTAAACGCTGATCTCTAAACTAGGTTTAGTACCTGTATTTTAGAAATCAGTGCCTCTGTTGTTTTTGATAAAATACAAAACCATATACATATGTTGAGATCAAAAAACAAAAAAGAACAATAACATTTAAGAAAATAGTAAGGAAAAGGGTTAGTTGCTGTGTGTGTACTAATGTGTGTTCGAGTTTATGTATGTGTGAGGTGTGGGTGTGTACGCGCATGAGTGTATGTGCGTGTATATTTGTAAGCGTGATCATGTGTGTATGTGTATGATTTACTATTTTAAGCGTCTCAGCAGAAGATCCTCAGTGTTACGATAATCTAATTTCTAGTTTTCTTTTAGCCAGTTTTTAAGCTATGTATCGTTCCAGGTATGACCAGCAACGAAGCGGACTACGAGCTGTGTTTCCGCGCCGAGAACGTTCAGCTGCCCCGCGGCGGGTTCTTCGGTGTGTCCGCTGCAACGGGCGGGTTGGCTGATGACCATGACGTCATACACCTGCTCACCACGTCACTGCACAGTCAGCAGCAGCAGTCAGGTCAGTCGACTCACTTTTAAAGATTTTCTCGCTCTTAAATTTGGGTTAAACATTCTATAGGTACAAGGTTGCAGGTTCGATTCCTGTTCAATATAAATATTTTTATACTGCAGTCTTAGTCCAGTTGCCCATTCGAGATTTTATATAGGGTATACTATTAGGGAGCACTACGATCTCCAAACTTCAAGGAAAAATCTTACTCCCTTCTTAATAAGCCAGGTGAAGGTGTCCATGGCGGTATTCACTTACCATCAGGTTTGCAGTCTGTTCGTTTGCCTCCTTCATGTTAAAAAAAATGTATTTTTCATAAGTTTTTATAATTATAATTTTTGTAATTTTTTTTCAATTTTGCGGTTTTAAACTTCATTCTGTGTATAGGAGGAGGTCAGCAGATGAGTGCTGATGAACAACAGAAGCTATCGCAAGAGTACCAAGAGTATCAGAAGAAGCTCGACCAGCAGAAAGAAGATTACAGAAAAGAACATCCAGATGAGGTAAATTTCCTTTTTTGTCATATTTTTTTGTTATTTGAAAATACCTGTTATAGTAACAGCTTAGTAAAATGCTTCTTAAACCCTCTAACTATTGTTTAAATAACTTCCTGCCGTAACATTTGGTCCTTCGAGCCATTCCATATCAGTCAGCTGTAATGTTGGTCTATTGTTGCATTTGCAATACTAACATGCAAAGACTATATGACTGTATCAGAACCTTTTTAACATTATAAAACTTGTTCATAGCTTAGCATAAAGATGTCGGTAGTTTTAAGGGTTCCGTTCCACAAAAGGAAAAAAACGGAACCCTTATGAAATTATGAAAAAATAATACGGCCGTTTATCCGTGTGGTGACGGATTAAGAATACGGAATGTCACCACCCCTATACATCCCGTGGGTGTCGCAAGAACCAGCTAAGGGAGCAAACTATGCAAGACAATAGCACTGCAAAGAGAAGGAAACTTCAAATCAAACCCTACACCAACCCGTCTGGCCAGCGTGGTATAATAGGCCAAAACCTCCTTTCTAAGGAGATGTCTATGTCCAGCAGTGGACTGTTATAGGCTGTTGATGATGCCACAAAAAACTTATGTTTTGACAGTAAAAGGAATCAAAATTGATAGGGTATTTTCCGTTGACCTAGAACTATGAAATTTGGCAAGTAATACCGTGTTATACTACAAGTATAGGCAAAAATCTGAAAACCATACATTTGTAATTAAATCACTAAAAACAGAGTCTTTATGCAAGGAACGGAGGTCCAAATTTTGTTCAGAGGGTTTCATTGGCAGAAGCTTAAACAGAGTTTTAATTATTTTTATGATACACAAATTTTTACAGAACCCTCGGTGGGCGAGTCCGACTCATACTAGTCCGTTTTTTGTTAATCTATTTATATAGTATTACATGTGTTTTTAATTAACCTTGCAGGTGCGCGACAAGGACGGAGAGTTCGACGACTGGTTCGAATCGGACGGACAGAGGGAGCTGCGGCAGATCTTCCAGGGACAGACGCAGATACATGACATACTCAGGGATTTGAACAAGAAAGTTGACGAGGTTAGTGAAAAACTAATTGTTTGGATTCTTGCTCTTTCGCGGAGCTGTAAAACAACAGAAGAATTTAGGCTCTTACCAATGAGGCTGACCCATCTTCTGCTCGGAACCCTGCGATGTATACCTGTTCCATATCTAAATATGTAATATATTAACAAACTACGTTACCAGTGTAGTCCCAACCCAGTAGGCCAAAACCTCCTTTCTAAGGAGAGGCCTAAGTCCAGCAGTGGACTATTACAGGCTTTTGATGATGATGATTGACAAAATACATTACCAGTGTAGTCCCAACCCTTAATTTCGTAACCGTAATCCGGTGCTCCGCTGGTCTCGGCCGTATTTTTCATTCAGTACACAACTTGTCCGTGTGGTGACGAATTAAGACTACAGAATGTCACCACCCCTATTCATCCCGTAGGTGTCGTAAGAGGCGACTAAGGGAGAAAACTACGCAGGACAACAACACTGCAGAGAGAAGGAAAACTTGAAACAAATCCTATACCAACCCGTCTGGCCAGCGTGGTATAGTAGGCCAAAACCTCCTTTCTAAGGAGAGGCCTATGTCCAGCAGTGGACTATTAAAGGCTGTTGATGATGATGATGATGATGACACAACTCGCCAATAACAATAATACAGCACTTAGACACCACGCGCGTCTGAACCGACCGAAGTTTTAATGAACTCTTGGTTTATGACACCGCGTGCATATCCGACCCATGCACCGATTAAAAACTTTGTGGTGGAAGAAGCGGTCGACCGCACCAACCTATTGTGTGGCAACTACCCGCTTTTTTCTCATAGTATTTAAAGTAATTTCTAACCACTAATTTATTTTTAAAACACTTTTATTGAAACTTTATTAAAAATGTCCAATTTCTGGACAAAGGCCTCTCCTTAGAAGAGTTTATTAAACATTAGCTAAAACAAAATCTTTCTACAGGGTAAAAGTAAAATAATGTTTAAAAAAACCATTGATTTTTTGTATTTTTAAGTTAAGAAGTAATGTTAATTATATTAATTACGTTATATTTTGTTTGTATATATACCTATCTATCTATCTCTCGGGAATCCAATCTTTTTTGTGTATTTGAGTAGCAGTAGTAGTGGTCTTTCGAGCCGGGTCTACAGCTCAAAGGACCAAGTTAAAAATCCATTTCGTTTTGGACACTTCCTTATGACTAACATGATACTGGGTTGCAGGTTATCGGCAAGCAAATGAACTCCTTGTCGATGCTGACGGCCGTGTACGGTCATTCTCAAGGGCAGCCTATTCAGCCTGGAGCCGCACCTCCTGCACAGGTACGCATAGATTATGGCAAACGATTCATTGCCTTGGAGTTCTCGAGTTCGATTATGATCTGCAAATATTTATTTCGAGTTTTTTTTTGTGTTTTCTATGTATAATAGGTATTAAAGTGCACGGATGGCGTAGTGGTTTAAGCGGTCGCCACGCCGCTTCCTACTACGCCGAGTGTTGTGGGTTCAAACCCCACATGGGACGACACTTTGTGTGATCCACAAATTGTTGTTCCAAGTCTGGGTGTTATTTGTGTCCGTTTCATGTATGTTTGTAAAGTCCCCCGCGACACAGGATATTTTCTTAATGCAGAAGTTGTCTTTTAAAAAAAATAAAAAAATATATATTTATAAAATAAAGGAAATAAGCATTCTATCAGTCAATCCAGCTTTTATAGTACACTACTATATACGAAACTAGATGGCGTTGTGCATCAGATGTCCGAAATATTATTATTATCATAGCGGTTAGTGACCCTTTCTTTTTCCGTGCGGAAATCCCCTCGGATACCACCTGTCGGTGGCATGTCGGACTCGAACCGACTAAAACCGCACGCCGTCTCGGGTACTAATAGCCGGGGAACCCAGGCATACCCTAGAAAGGAAGTCCCTGGTGCTGCGGTTAGTGACCCTGACTGCTGGTCGTGAGTTCGGTTCCCACCCAGTACTAATAATTGTCTGAGGAGCACTATCATTTGTTATGTGTCGGGGTGTAATTTATCTATATTATGTATGTATTTAGAAATATATAAGTATGTTTATCAGCAGTCTGGTTACCATGGTACAGGTTCTGACAAGTTTGGTAGCAGAGACCGTGTGTGACATGTGTTATTATTATAATAAATAAATAAACGGTGCGTGTAGATGGGGTCTCTGCCGATCGGACGCCACGACTGGGACGCGCTGGTCACCAACAACCAAATCATGGCGAACACCATTGCTGAACTTAAGTTAGTATATACTTCAAGTTTATTACATATTTTATTATTGGTAATATAGATTTGCATATCATGAGTTAAATGGCAAATGTGTGGGATGTTTTGTAATGTTTTAATTTTAAGCAAATTAAAGAATCGAATTGATGATATAAAAGAAGAAACTGACACAGACTGATTTAGTAAATAGTTGTATTTAAATTATGAATAATAAATCTTATGTGTTCAACAGAGGGTTCATAATCGAAGTGTCTCGCAAGTCGGACTCGCTCATCGCGGCGGGAGGGCAGGGAGCGGCCGCTAGTAAGTTCATTATTATTATATTATTATCTCAGAAAAATCCTGTAACTATTGAAAATTGTTAAATATGAAACACCCTGAATGCACGGATGGCGTAGCGAACCTCGCCGCTTCCTAGTACGCCGAGTGATGTGGGTTCCACTCCCACATGGGGCGACACTTTGTGTAATCCACAAATTGTTGTTCTGAATCTGGGCGGTCTTTTTGTCCGTTTCATGTATATTTGTAAAGTCCCCCGCGACACAGGAATGTATTCCTAATGTGGGAGTTGTCTTTCAGAAGACAAAAAAACAGAAAACCCCCCTTTTTGCTTACTAAGATTAAGTCCCCATCGCGTAGCCGACACTAAGTGATAGGGACTTATTCTAAGTATACTGCTGTTAATAAAATGTACTTCTGTGATCAGTTGAGTCGTTACAAATAATCTAATTCAATTTCTCGTTATTGTTATTAAATATTTATTTAGACTACCCTCAGTTTTTTTAATTTAAATGTCATTTGCTCGTAACCCAGGTGGAATCAACCCCCAGTTCCTGAATGAGATACGTGACTCCGTGCTGCAAGTCAAACAGACAGTCAACTCTGTCGCACAGAGGTAAATCTTATTTCGTTCTAAAGCGGTGCCATCGAGGTTGGAGAATTAAACATATTTTTAGTTTTAAGCAGTAGTTTTATACCACGGACTCACAGAAAACCAATATTAAACGATTCTTTTTAACGAGGCAACTTGGAAAGCGAACCGTCTTTAAATTATATGGGGGGGGGGGGACTATAAGGGAGTCCCCCCCTCACCAGATTGTGGCTCCTGAGCTGCAGGTGTCCATGGCCCCTTACCATCACGTGACCCGTTTGCTCACTTATACCGCAAAAACTTTGTGGTAGTTATTCCTACATCCGTAGAAGTCCTAAGTTTCTATAAAGTTGTCAATAACACGTTCACAGGCTAAGGTGACCGCTTACCTTATGTTATAATATTTTGAATGACCCCTGACCGTTTGTTCGCTAGGTTGACGACTCAGCCGCAGGTGCAGGCTATGGGGGGGGCGGCCTGCCCGGAGGTAAGCTGCGTGAGCTTCACGTCGATGCTGCTGGTGGTGGCCACACAGCTGTCGCTCATGTTCCTCTACTCGGTATATAAGTAAGTGTTTGTAGTCATTTTGAAAATACCGATACTATTAGTTCCATTACTGAGTAATAGATGGCGCTAGTAGTAACTCCGCTGACTGTTTATATCAATTTTAAATTAGTTTTTAATCATTACTGTCAGATCGAGGTCTAGTTTTATTAAATTATTGCGTTATCCCATCAATTTATAATTACTATAATATTTACTATTTTTAATACGCTTTTATTATTAGCTTGGTATATATGTATGTAACGCAATCTTTACATGATTTTGACCCGCTACAAAACATCGAATTAAATTAAAACTTTGCACACTTATCAAGGACCGATGACAATACAAAAACATGTTCCATTATCCTGATCAGGACCTTCAGACCTTAAAAATACGGTAGTCCTAACAATACAATAATGGAAATATAAACTATAGTTAAGAAAAACACGGTTTTATAGCTAGCCGTACTAAAAAGTAGGTAATATTTTTTTACAAGTTCAGAAAGACAAAAAAAAATGTCTCGTAAAAAAGCTTAGGTTGCCACGTGGGTGTAAAAAAAGATATTTATTGACACAAGACTTTGTCAAATTATCGTCCGTCTTCTTATTGTTTTTTTCCTATTTGTCCACAGAGAAAAAAAGGAGGCTCAAGCGAAGAAATTCTTTTAAGAAATTGTTAGTTTATGTCGGTAGGTGGCGCCAGCGGTTTCACGTTACTACCAACCTGACAAAAGATGGCGTTGTGACATGTTATTAACGTATCGACTTTATCTATCAGCATTAGGTTATCTGAGATTATATGTATGTTTTATTATGATGATCTCACGAATATGTAGTCTTCTTTGATGCGAGTGTTAGAACATGAAATCGGTGGCCGTTTTAGGTTTTTTTACCAATACGTGAAGGCGAGATAGATTTTACGGCTGTAAATAATATTTATACTGTTCTAGATAATTTCTATAAACTAAAATTTGTTAATTTCCAACTAAGTTTTCCGTCGATGTCTCGCTGTGTGTGTGTGCGAGTGTAAAAATGGTTGTAAGTAAAGATTATTTTTTGAAATGAGCTATTTTGTTTTATTTCAACTTTCGACGATACATACACCGATTGCTATGTACGGTATTCTATTCTATATCCAAAAGCTTTATTAAGTAAAATCTGTGTTAATTAAAGTGGTGTGTACCAGGAATAATAAAAAACATTGGAAAACCGACTGCTGAGAATCATTTTTTTTATAAAAGAGAACTCCCGCATTAGGAATGATGTCCTGTGTCGCGGGGGACTTTACAAACATACATGAAACGGACACAAAGAACACCCAGACTCAGAACGACAATTTGTGGATCACACAAAGTGTCGTCCCATGTAGGGATCGAACCCACAACACTCAGCGTAGTAAAAAGCGGCGTGGCGACCGCTTAAACCACTACGCCATCCGTGCAGTCGATGCATTGTTTAACAATTTCTGTAGTGACTGTCACTAATAACATGAACACAAATACTGTCCTGTTGGGAGTACATCCCAAGCTATGGGAGTGTCCGATCTCACTGTCGTACATACAAATAGTTTTTACTAAATACATCTAGATAATTTTGTGTGCACTGCTGCGGCCTATTTTTGGCTGCGCGTTGTTATTGTTATAAATACATCGCACCTTTAATAATAAACTGAATTAATTCAAAATTTACGTTTTTCGAGTTTTCAACAAATACCAAATCAACTTCATCAGTAGAACACGAACAATCCAACAGCCGACTCGATACCATGAAAATGGCAGAGATAAGAGATCGTCGTTCTCTTTGAGACGAACTCGCACGTACATGAATGTCAAACTTTAAATGCGATTTCCCACAATATTGAAATTCTAAGTTAATTCAGTTTATGAATAAAGGTGCGACATTACGAATAATTTCTTTTCCTTTTTTTTTTTATAAAAGACATTAGGAATAAATCCTGTGTCGCGGGGAACTTTACAAACATACATGAAACGGACACAAAGAACACCCAGACTCAGAACAACAATTTGTGGATCACACAAAGTGTCGTCCCATGTGGGGTTTTAACCCACAACACTCGGCGCAGTAGGAAGCGGCGTGGCGACCGCTTAAACCACTACGCCATCCGTGCAGTCAAAATTATTACTTTATAAGTGAGTACGCCACCAACTATTAGACTCACAAAGCAAAATCCCGGACCCGAAGACTGCCGAAGACTTCGTCTACACAGCTGCTCCGCTATATCTTCATAATTAAAAAAAAAAAGATGAATTTTCCGGCTAAAAATTCCAATGATTTTCGATTAAGAATGATAGTCTGCATACACTATTTCAGTATCGGTCACGACGTCCCTTACACCCTGTGTATAAACAAGGTGTAAGGGACGTCGTAGCAAATACCAAAATAGTGTATTCAGACCATTCAGAGTAAAAAATCATTGGAATTTTGTACCGAAAATTAAAATTTTATGCAATCAGCTGCTCATTTTGATATCATTCTTCATAATTTTTAAAAAAAAAAAATTATGAAAAAAATTAATGAAATTTGCGGCTGATAATTCCTCGACTAAGAATGATAGTCTGCATACACTATTTCAGTATTGGTTACGACGTCCCTTACACCCTGTATAGATAACCCTTGCTCGTTCGCCTTAACTTAAAATTAAATAAAAAGAAATGAAACAAATTCAATATTACAATTAACAAAATATATTCTGTATCAATATAACAAAACTTAGACAGGGAAAGGATCTCCAGGGTCTTTCCACAAACGAGTAAAGCTTTTCATGATATGAGGAACAGTCTGTTTCAAAAATATGAACTCAATTTTATAACAATTTTCGTGTTCAATGACTGAAATAACATTTTTGTTATTAAAAATAAGGAATTTTAAGGAAACGGAATTTTAAGTATGAACGTAATTCTTCGGTCTTTTTACTTCTGCGTCATTGCCCATAATAATCTTTAAAAGTATAAAAATTATTTAAATATATTTAAACTCTTGTAGTTATGTCATGTTCTTGATATAAATAATTTAGTATTTTAGTACAATTACCAACATTGATCTCCACCTCACCACCCTTAAACATCACGTGGGTGTCGTAAGATCCGACTAAGGTAGCAAACTATGCAGAACAACAACACTGCAGAGAGAAGGAAAGCTTGACACAAACCCTATACCAACCCGTCTGACCAGCGTGGTATAGTAGGCCAAAACCTACTTTCTAAGGAGCGGCCTATGTCCAGCAGTGGACTGTTGAACGCTGTTGATGTGATGTGATGTGATGTGATGTGATGTAATGTGAACAACATTGAATTAAATTTATACATGAGGTAAATGACGCATAAATAAAAAGAATTAAAAAGAACGAATATTCAACCATTTGGTGACTAGTCAAGAAATACAAGATCTTAAACAATACTAATTAGAAATTTTGAAACAACGTAACAAATTATATTTTACTTATTATTAAATAGAAAACATTAACGTTTGAATTATAATATTGTACTAACTTATCAAAAAATAAACATAATAAAATAAGTATTTCAGAGATACTTGCATTGGAGAGAATTCGAACAAAAATGGGGTCCTCAGTGTACGGAACAGTCGCGACAGATCGCTTTACTCCTTAAAGAAGGACCCCCTTCGGGTTCGAAGAGAGTTAGGCATTCCTATAACTTAATTTTTCTTAACTTTCTAATAGTTTAAATAAACTATTTAATAATCCTTCCCCATCATCATCAGCCTACCATTATCCCAATTTTATTTGGGGTCTTTTTATTTTTTATCTTTTAATAATACTTCTCCGAAACAAAAAGTAATTTTCAAGCTAAACATTTAATATGTCATGCTTACAAAAACATTTTTTTTGTCTGTCGCCGAATTGAGTCCGTGTGGAGGTTGTCCTCCCGGGCCCTCTCCGCCGACTCCTTCTGTGAAACACACATCATAGCAGCAAGAGATCCCCCCCGATGACTGCAGTGAGGACCCGACGCTGCGACACCCAAGCCGGCGTGTGCTGAGCCGAGTCCTCACTGCATCGCAGTGGTGACAGGCGGGACTCAATTCCCTCCTAGCGACCGAGTGCAGGTACTTCCCAAAGCCGCCGGAAAGGATTTGAGCTTAAGTACAGTGTTTGATCCATGATTAAAAATACATTATTTGGTATAATTAATAATCTTGCAAAGAATATTACTTGATTAATATCTAATTAAACTAAATTTGAAATTCGTGCTACTATCGAATGTAAAAGGCACATACATATCACTGCTAAATCACCCATTCACTTATTTGCTACCTGAGCAGTATAACCTAATCAACAACAAATCCAATAATAATTTTAAAGTCTATAAGGTCTGCCCATATCGATCCTGATGAGCCGTTCTCCCCCTGGGTCCAGGTCGTGGGTGCAGTGGGGGACGTGCGACCCCCCCCATCACGTACTCACTCCCGAACAGGTCCGTGTCACGAGTCGGATATTCAACGACATTTACTAATGTTAACGATCTCTGAAACAAATAAAATAATTTTGATGAATGGTGGATGGGAACTCATTTGGCTTATTTGTGACGTGATGACGTCGTTTACTTGCTTCAACAAACTAAACGTAACTTATTAATACAGTCTTTGAAGTATATATTCGTTATGACCCGGAAGCACTTTTTGTATTACATAAAAATAAATAATTTTTTTTCGTTCTTCGTTTATCACGTGTTTCGGAAAGAGCAATATACTTGGCGTTGAAACGTCAGTTGTTGCTGACTAACATTACGTATTTTTACTTGCACTGCACGTGAATATCTGAATAATTACTTCAATACATATGTTACGAAAACTTGGGGTGTCGTTGTCAGTGTCGTTATAAACAGTCACCCGGTGCTTCTTAAAGATTGAATAAGTATTCTATTACATTGTCATCATCACATCATCAACAGCCTTTAATAGTCCACTGCTGGACATAGGCCTCTCCTTAGAAAGGAGGTTTTGGCCTACTATACCACGCTGGCCAGACGGGTTGGTATACGGTTTGTGTCAAGTTTTCCTTCTCTCTGCAGTACTGTTGTCCTGCGTAGTTTTTTCCCTTAGTCGGCTCTTACGACACCCACGGGATGAATAGGGGTGGTGACACTCTGTATTCTTAATCCGTCACCACACGGACTATTGGGACGAATGGTGGATATTTGACATAAATCCCCCCGCCCCACCTTTCCCTCTCTTATGCAGTTCGCAATAGGCACATTACGTAATTTTAATTTTTTTTGGTTAAAAATGATATCACAATGAGTATGTATGTATAATATTATTATTATTATAGCGACCTAGTGGTTAGTGACCCTGACTGCTAAGATAGAGGTCGTAAATTCGATTCCCACTTAGGACAAATATTTGTATGATAAGCGCGATTATTTGTTCTGTGTCTGGGTGTAATTTATCTTTAATATGTATGTATTTAGAAATATATAAGTATGTTTATCAGCAGTTTAGTTTCTTAGAACAGGTTTTGTTTAATTTGGGAGCAGACAGTCGTGTGTGGGATGTGTTAAGTTGTTATTTATATATAGCGGTATTTATTAATTTGTTTAGGTGAAATGTTCTGTTTACTCATTGTGATATCATTTTTAACCAAAAAATGGCTATTATGAAAAAAAAAATGATTTTCGACTCAGAATGATGGTCTAAATACACTATTTCAGTATTCGTTACGATGTCCCTTACACCCTTTACAGAAGGCTAAAACCTATTTTCTGAGGAGAGGCCTATGTCCAGGAGTGGACTATTTAAATGGTGGCTGTTGATGTGATATTTAGGCCTATAAAAGGAGATAGGTGAGAAGTCATTCATAATAAGACAATAACACTCACCAGTCTGTCTCTGATGAGCTGCTCTCTGAGCACCTCCCTCAGGACCTTGGCGGAGTGATGCAGCGCGGCCGACAGGCGGCGGGAGGACAGCGCGGGGAGGGGGGCGGTCGGGAGACACCAGCACACGCTCTCTGGAAAGTATTCCATTTGTTTTGTTATATCCTTTTTAAACTAGCGACATCTAGCGAAAACAATTTGAACTACCGTAGTAACTGCCTCTGCATCGCGCAAGTTATTTATTCACTAAAGACATGCCAACCGGAAACAACATTGTTCAAAATACACTTAAACAATCAACAGCAGATAATAGTCCACTGCTGGACATAGGTCTCTCCTTAGAAAGGAGGTTTTTGCCTACTATACCACGCTGGCCAGACGGGTTGGTATAGGGTTTGTTTTAAGATTTCCTTCTCTTTGCAGTGCTGTAGTCCTGCGTAGTTTGCTCCCTTAGTCGGCTCTTACGACACCCACGGGATGAATAGGGGTGTTGACACTCGATATTCTTAATCCGTCACCACACGGATACATCATTATTAACCATATCCATACAAGTATCGGAATTATAAATCAATATTACAACGCGTAGTGGTCGTTGTGCATCACTTGATACTAGATGGCGCTGTCATCCGGATTCCATACGACTCTCGATTGTTCATGAACTAACTACACAATACAAGAACCACCTCACCACCTACCTCGTGTTTCATTGGGGTCCTTCTCCGAGGAGTGCGGGACTTCGTGTGCCTCGCGGATGAAATCAGTGCTGTCGTTCAGACCGCCCTGTCAAAACGTAATACTTATTAAAGCATTCCTAACTATTATAATACACATACATACTTTTAGGTCATCCACAAAGGGGTAAACAGAGAACATTCAATTTGACAGGACAATGGCTGTCAAGTTAGCTTGTTACAATTTAAAAAAAACAATATAGTTACTTACGAATGTTTTTAATTAAAACAGAACCTTTTAAATATTCAGAGCTAATTATTAATATGACTGAGTCAGACCAATGCATTCCACAAGTGAACTGGAAACGGTATATACTCGGACATTGTGGAATCCAAATACCCTCTGTTTAAAATATATGCATTCCACAATATTCAAGTTTTTTATAGGTACTTAAAACGATTAAAATACCTGGTTTTGATCACTTGCAGTCTCACACTCAGTGTTGCAATCATCCTTTGGTCTGTGGAGTGCGAGGAGTCGTCGGAGCCACTCATCTGTACACTGTCTGATCTGTTCCGGAGTGAGCATCTCGCTATCCAGAGATCCATGGGGCTTCAGAGTATTTTGATCCACTAGAACAATTATTACTTATCTCATAGCGGTTTGAAAACGTTTTAAAGGTTTATGTCATCCTACTCCAAATTGTAAAGAATGTGGTATTGTTGAGGATGTCTATCATTTTTTTATGGAATGTGCCAAAAATAGGGCTAAGAGAAAGGCTCTGGTAAATAGACTAAAAATTAATATGATAGATTTTGGTATGTTTCAAAGTATATTGTCAAAGCCTCTGTCAGAAACATTTGCAGTTGTTAGATTATTAATTATTTGAACTGTAGTCGGCACGAATGGGCCGGCTCGACCGGAGTGATACCACGGCCTCTCAGAAGACTGGTGTTAAGGAAATTCTCTCGTTGCCTTTCACTGAATGAGTAAGGTTACCGGAGCCCAAATCCCGCTCCAGTCAGCGGGAGGGACTCCAAGGGCAGCGACGCACGTGTCCATCTGCGGCGGTACTTGCTTACCATTAGGTGACCCGTCTGCTCGTTTGCTCCCTTATACCATAAAAAAATCAAAAAAGTATGTTCTATAATACTTAGGTTAAATTTAAGGATGAGTACATTGTATGTATAGGGTACGAATGGGCTGACATGGTCTTATGTGTGAATGCAAGCCCCTAAATAAATAAAGTTAAAAAAACTCCTACTTCAAGTATTTTCCCAAATTAGCTTGAGGTCGCTTTCAGTTTACTACGACATGGCTGGAATTAGATTTTTTTATGCGGAGCGACTGCCATGGACATTTGTAATTCAAGTCACAACGCCTTCTAATACTGAGTCCCTTCCTCCCAGAATCAGCAGGGTGGAAGAGGAGGTTGGTTTCCACCTCACTTAATATAGGAATAACTTTGTCCCTCGCTTTCATTAGTCCAAACTCAAAACCCCATGGGTCCGTGTGGTGACGGATTAAGAATACAGAGTGTCACCACCCCTATTCATCCCGTGGGTGTCGTAAGAGCCGACTAAGGGAAAAAACTAAGCAGGACAACAGCACTGCAGAGAGAAGGAAAACTTGACACAAACCCTTTACCAACCCGTCTGGCCAGCGTGGTATAGTAGGCCAAAACCTCCTTTCTCAGGAGAGGCTTATGTCCAGCAGTGGACTATTAAAGGCTGTTGATGAAACCCCATGGTCTCGTCCACAGTTTATGCAACATACCTTACCTGCTGAATATTGCAGCTCCAATTGGTCCGCCTCCTCTCTACATTCACAGTTAGGCAATTCTTCGCAAGTTGGAGACCAGTCCTGAACAGAAAAAAACATTATAAATTCGGATTTGGATAATTTATGTGTTTGATAGAATACTTATTGATGAACTTAAATACAACCGGTGTTGCGACTGTGAGTTAACGTGCGGGACTCCCGGGAATGTGGGGGACTCCCCGGACGTGCGCGGCGAGTGGGGGGGACGAGCCCGGAGGAGCGCGAGGACACATCCAACAGCCGTTGCTCGCCTTGAGACATCACCGTGGACGGACCTCTCAATATTTCAACCTCACATTTGATATACGTGTAAAGACCTGGCGATTAAGATACCAGTAATACAGTCCACTGCCATTTTATTTAAGTCCCCTGGACCCTTTAACAACCGTTAATCCCTTTTGATTAGGAATAAAATTACCAAAAATCCTTACTAAGTGGGTGCTTACAACATGAAAAGCATTAGCGGTTAAAATATCAAAAGTTCGTAGCCCAGCGGTTTAATCCCTGCGTGTGTGAATCAGTCAGGGCCAGCAATTTTATATGTATAGGTAGACATAGCTGGAAACTGTTAATCAAATGCGCTAATTCGTTAAACGTAAATCGTTAAATTTCGACAGATTTAACGGAAGCTAACGTTAATCGTTATCCCGTTAACACGTGATAGAGATTATGTTGTTGCTTTAGTGGTCTACTTATAAAAACTATAGGATTTTTGGAGTTAACATGTTTTAAACAAAACGGTAACACATTCGTGCTAATACTGTTGTTCGAAAACTCTCTAAACTAAACTAAAAATCACTCAAATTTTGTTTAGAACTTTCAAGTACTACGTTTTCAGAATCAGAAACGATATTTGACAGGACTAAAAACTTTAGCACCAATGTATCTATTTCGGCTTGCGTCGACAACACCGACCGACCCGAAGATACTCCAAAAATGTCCAAATGTCCAAACGTATTTTTCGTGTGGTGACGGATTAAGAATACAGAGTCACCACCCTTATTCATCCCAAGGGTGTCGTGAGAGCCGATTACGTGTGCAAACAACACAGAACAGAACAACAGCTCACTGCAAAGAGAAGGGAAACTTGAAACAAACCGTATACCAACCCGTCTGGCCATCGTGGTATAGTAGGCCAAAACCTACTTTTTAAGGAGAGGTCTATGTAAAGCAATGGACTATTAAAGGCTGTTGATGATGAAAGTTAACCCGTTTATCGTCAATTAACCTTGGCCTTGTACCCAGCTTTGTGTATTACACCGATTTCCACTAACCTGATGAAGATACGGGTCTTCTTGTTTCTGCCACGCCTCGTTACTCCAAGTAGATGGTCGTATTGCCTCTGGGTTCGAAGAAAGAGCTGGATTATTCCACATCCTTCCTTGCTGTTCTGTCCCATCTTTTTGATTGCCACACCAAGTGGCTGTAGGGTATGTTCCTAGGCTTGATATAGAATATTTAAACTCTTCTTGATGTGATTTCAGACTTGGTTGAGATTCTTCTATCTTTGTATCTTGAAAAGGCTTCAGAGACTTGTGTTCTGGTTTTGCCAGATTATGAGATCCAGTCTCCGATCCTTGGTTAGTAAGTGACACCTGACTTATTGACTGAGGACCACTTTGAGGATTTAAAGGAAATTTTTGGGATGTATGCTGGTGGTTTGGCCAATTATCTGGATTAAGTCTTCTGCTGAACTGGGGTGGAGTCGAGGGGACTTCGTTAGTCCAAGAATATGGATCGGGCTTTTGATGATTATTCTGTTCAAACACTGGGCTAGTAATTAATGCTGGATTAGTCCAAAAACCTGGATTCATTTTATGAGAATTTAACTGATCATCTTTATCAAGAACTGTCCTTTCTTCATTCTTCCATTTATCTGGGCACAATAGCATCTGAAGGCCATTAGCTGGTGGACCCTGATGTATTGTACTATTGTTCTGGTATTCAACATTTTGACCTTGTCTCTTTAGAAGATTAGCCAGTATTTCTGGATCGGGGAGGGGACTCGGCGGAGACCAAGAATTTTTTTGGAACAGTTCCGGGTTTCTTGATGCTGCACTAGTCCAAATGTTTTGAGGGTGGAATGATGAACTATCTATCTCTAATGTCTGATTACTCCATTGCTGTTGGGTTCGTAGGTTCTGATCACTAGACGCTTGATTATTGACCCAAAAATCAGGTTTAAGCTGCGTTGACTCGACCTTTAAGTGATCACCAGCAGAATCTGGGTTGGTTTGAAGCAACCATTGTAAGTTAGACACTAGTTGGTTTTGATTGATACATGAAGCTAGTGGTGATTGCTGTACAGCATCAGTTCGGTGATCGGTGAATGCCTCCTTGTTCTGATGACAAAAGTACTGAGTTGAAAGTTTGGTTTGTCCGAATGTACTATCCGGCCTGATATCGGTTTACTCGCAATCATCAAAATTTAGGAATATATAAATAATAGTTTTACTACATTAATATTAACTTTTTTACCTTCTTTTAAAAAGAAACTATTTTTGTTAAGCTAAGATATATGTACGTATAAAGATTTTTGATTTTTACTGTAGATTTTTAAGTAGTTATCATGTAGAGAATGTCTACCCAAGTTTTTTTTTTAAGTTATGGAAGCCATACGCTTCCAACTCTCTTTTATTATTATGCTTTCGTGCAACCTGTAATTAAGGCAGCACTAATGCTTGTATACTATTATCATTATATGATAATAATATAACCTCACACATCACTAACACGGCTGTCTGATCCCAAACTAGGCAGAGCCGGTTACTATGGTAACCAGACCGTTGATAAACATACTTATATATTTCTAAATACATACATATTATAGATAAGTTACACCCAGACACAGAACAAACGATCGTGCTCATCACACAAATATTTGTTCTGGGTGGGACCACGACCTCCGATTTAGCACTAGACCAACAGGCCTGTCAAATATCTCATTATAGCTCTGCCTTTGGAAATCAGGATAGTACCCAGCCGCCTCTCATTTAAGACAAAAGTCCGAGCTTGAATTATCGACACTAGCAGATTCGTCACATCCCTAAAGTTTTATACATATAGTGTATTTATGTATAAAATTCTCGTGTCACAATGTTAGCTACCATACTTGGACTGCACGGATGGCGTAGTGGTTTAAGCGGTCACCACGCCGCTTTCTACTACGCCGAGTGTTGTGGGTTCAAACCCCACATGGGACGACACTTTGTGTGATCCACAAATTGTTGTTCTGAGTCTGGGTGTTCTTTGTGTCCGTTTCATGTATGTTTGTAAAGTCCCCCGCGACACAGGATATATTACTATTACGGGCGTTGTCTTTTTAAAACAAATAGAAATAGAATACTCCTCCGAAACGGCTGGACCGATTTTTATGAAATTTTGTGTGCACATCGGGTAGGTCTGAGAATCGGCTAACATCTATTTTTCATATCCCTAAATGACAAGGGTGACCGACCCCTAATTTTTTTTCAATATTTTCTAGAAATAATCTATATGGCAAAACAACATTTGCCGGGTCAGCTAGTATGTATATATATGTATGTAACTCAGCAGTGTATATGTATGTGTATCTCAGTATTTATATCCGTCAGACTTGTTCTGTCCATATCCTTAATTATTATTATCTCGTTACATATAAAACTTCATTTCTAGTGCACCTACTCAGACATTTCCCCACCACCCAAAGGTAGACTGACTGGAAGAAAATGCCTGTGGCATTAAGTCCGCCATTGTACAATGAATTGTTGTTTGTGCAAAAAGAAATAAATAAATTATATCTCTTGCTTTTAAGGTGTGGGCTTAAGTTTTTCGTGGAAAAGCCATGCTTCGGCATGACTAGAGTGATACCACGGCCTCTTTCGTTGCAGTGATTCACCGTGTGAGTGAAGGAGATAAACAAAGGCTCACCCAATCCCCCTCCCCCCTTCATCCAGGGGAGCACACAAAGTGTGGCAAAGCACTTGGATGACAAGTCTCCATGGGTGGCGATAGTCACTTACCATCAGGTGATCGTCTATTACATAAAAAAGCTTCTAATGAATGAATGAATTTTTATTAAATTATGCTTACCATAAATTTTTTTATTGTTTCGACTTTTTGTATATTTATTATAACAAATTTTGACCGCAGTTCCGCCCGCGTGTATGTCCGTTATCGTCATAAAAAGAATCTATTCCTTCTCAAGAACCAAACTATATCCATACCAAATTTCATCTAAATCGAACCTGGTCGAAACGTCAGGCAAACCAGAGGTATGTAGTACCCTAAATAAGAGATCGCGTTAATTCCCGTTAAATAATATTAATTATTCATCTAAATCGGTTTAGCAGTTATTGATTTTCCATCCATACAAACTTCCATCCCCCTTTTCAACCCCTTAAATGATGATTTCTGAAATAAAAAATATTCTATGTCCTTTCCCGGAACTAGGACTATCTCTATTCCAAATTACAAAATCGGTTTAGGAGTTTAAGCGTGAAGGACAGACACACACTTTTGCATTTATAATATTTGACCAATTTTGACTTACCTGTGCCTCTTGAAACGTTTCTGAGTGCGTCAATACTCTTCTATTGACCCATGTGTCTGTATTAGATGGTCTCAGTCCTGCCTTCGTGTCTTGATGCTGCCAGATTTTTTCAGGCGGTTGAGGAGTTGGCGGCGGAGCAGAAGGCACGTTTTCTGGAGTATCATCTGCTACACAGGAAAAATATAATCCAAAGGCATTCAGATACAGTTGGAAAAATAACTGCTTATCACATCACATCAACAGCCTTTACTAGTCCACTGCTGGACATAGGCCACTCCTTAGAAAGGAGGTTATATGAGTATATAAGCACGGAAATTTTTGTGGCTTTGGAGGAACTCCACAAGAGTACTAACTTTTAAACTTTCGCGTTCCATGATAATTAATATTATTTAACGGGAATTAACGCGATCTCTTATTTAGGTATTACATACCAGGCAAACCAGAGGTATGTAATACCCTAAATAAGAGATCGCGTTAATTCCCGTTAAATAATATTAATCCACAAGAGTAGTTTGTTTTGAATGGACTTTGAGAAGGTATTTGTTTTTTATCGCTGATAAATCTGCACTATTTGTGCAACGATTGTAATTATTTTAATTGGTTGTGTAAAAGGTTAAGGTTGATCCTATAAATTTGGCGGAAAAGGTACACGAGGGGCGTGAGGCAGCTCGCCGAACCACGATGGCTCATTTCTCGTCCCGGCTGGTGGTTAAATGTGCTGGTTATGCCACCGTGGAGGCACTCCAGCCGGGTCAAACCAGCTTGGACGACGCAGCGTCGGGAGGGCCCGACGCTGCGTCGACTGCAGTCATCGGTGAGGATTTCTAACTAACTATCTTCTACGTGTGAGAGTGCAGAGTGACACACCGTGAGGTTATACTCGCAGTGTTTACGATGGAGCGGTGTAGGAATAGATCCGACTATACCCCGTAAACCAAGGGGGTTTGCGTAACCGTAAAAAAAGTGGATTAAATTTCGGGGGAGGGATCCCCTGAATTCATCATCTTTCTGCGAGGCCTAAGACGAGGGAAGAAGGGGTAAGAGATATCAAAAGTCTTAGATAGGAAATGTGACAAACTTTAGAAAAAACTCTTATAAAGACTCTCTTGCTGTGTTCTCCACCTAGTACTCTCTTGATCAGGTCTATCCTAGTTAAGAGTTGGAGTCTCCAAGCAGAATTGTCATTGCAATCATTAGATGACTTTTGTACATAATACTTACTGGGTATTTCATGCATAAAGGCATTGTTCAAAGGTGAAGTCTCAGTTTCACCATCACAGATAGTTTCCACATCATACGTCTTGTTCAAGTCTCGAGCACTGCAAAAGAATATTAGGTATTTTATAGAGTTGCCTTGATCGGTATTTCTGTTATTAAAATACAATATGAGCACGATCATATCAGTTAACAAGGTTCCTAACAGAGAGGCTTACAAGTCTTAAGACTGTGACATAAGGTCACGGTCAGGGTATAAGCAGACGGGCTACCTAACATTTGAGTGTCCCCCATCACAGAGCCAGAAGGTGCGAGGGATTAGACCTGCAGTAACTTCACTTACTAGGTGAAATCCAATTAAAGAATTTTTTGGAATTTGTTTTTATGAGGCCTTGGTTATCTCTTCCGTCCAGTGGGTGCATGGGTGCCGGAGAATGGCACTTTTTTTTATGTGTTGAACCCCCCACGGGCCGTCACTCCACCGGCGTTTGCGGCGAGGTGGTGTGTCGAAATCGGACCGACTAAAACCAAACGGTGCGCCTATGATTGGAGGGATCCGGCAACTGCTGTTATTAAGACATCAGGACCCCTCCTAGTGCCTGCCCGCAAAGGCGCGAGCACCACCTTCGGGTACATAATGTATTTGGCGAGCCGGCACACGCGGACGTCGCCTCCTCGCGGCTGGCCGTTATGGCGGGTGGAGGGGAAAACCCGTCCCATCCACCCGCAGCCACACTCAAGGCGGCATGAGGCGCTGGTAAGCGTGCTGCCGCCACCCGTTTTGTCGGCGTCAGCGGCGAATTGGATCCGAGTGGAGATCATCCTCCCGGGCCCTCTCCGCCGCTTCCTTCAGCGAAATGATCTCTTCGCAGAAGGATGCAACCGCGGTAAAACAACTGACACTACCAGCCATGGAGCGGATGACGGTCGGTAGCAAGAGATCTTCTCCAATGACTGCAATGATGACGGCCGACGACGATAACAGGCTGGAGCGCCTCCACGGCGGCAGGCGGGACGATCAACGAGCCATCATGGATCGATGAGGGGCCTCACGCCATTTGCGTACTTCTTCGGGCGGGGGCCGACTGCCGCTAATTGCTCGCAACTCAGTCGTCCGCCTCCAAAAGCCTAAGGGGGGAGAGTCGCGCCAATGCGCACGCCACCTCCGTCGACACGGTGCGGTAAACACGTATGGCTCTAACCGTCAATACCCTGTGAGGCCGCCAAAGACGCGCCCTATTCTGGGCGATTAGAGCCGTTGCCTACACCGGTGCACCGTACAGTGCCATTGACCGGACAACTCCCGTGTACAGCCGTCTCGTTGCGACGCTAGGTCCACCCAGATTAGGCAAAAGTTGCGCGAACTAGTGCCACACGTAAGCCCAGCGCCTCAATGCTCCCGATCACCAGAGAAACTGCTCTGGTGGCCAGGCGCGCGGTCTCTTAAAACTTCGCCCACCGGGTTGTGTGCAAATTAGCATCGACGTAACAAATTACACCCAGCCCGGGGGGAAAATCAGCTCGAAGAGCCCAGTCGTACCCTATGTTCCAGAGGTCCAAGAACAGACCCCTGTTGAACACCGCAGGACATGGGCGGTAATCTGGCGTGTCCTCGTACACGACGGTACGCTCCTATACATAGTCTGCTGCTGGAGTGCTTCCCTGATGTAGCTGAGTGGCAGACGCAGCACAGCGCCGACCGTCGAACGCCCTCACGAAAACCTAATTGGGCGTCCCGACAGATCGGGGCCCACCTCGTAGAGGTGGCGGACGTTTTTTTTTCTTTTTTAACTTCACACATCTCACACACGGCCGTCTGATTCCAAACTAGGCCGAGCCTGTTACATGGTAACCAGACTGCTAATAAACATATTTACGTATATATTTCTAAATACATACATATTATAAATAAATTACACAATAAATTTTTTTCCGTGCGGAAATCCCCTCGGATACCACCTATCGGTGGCATGTCGGACTCGAACCGAGTAAAACCGCACGCCGTCTTGGGTACTAATAGCCAGGGAACCAGAGATAAATTACACCCAGGCACAGAACAAAATCATTGTGCTCAACATACAATTAGTTGTCCTGGGTGGGTCCCGTCAGGGTCACTAACCACTAGACTAGCAGGCCAGTTCTGGGAAGAGAGTACCTTCTCAAATGCTGGTGAATGGCCCTCCCACAGCCATAGTACTAGACAGTTCTTTTAAATGAGGTATTTTAAATAATATAAATAATGTTTTATTGTATACTAGTACAGCACAATAATAATGTATGCTCAATGTGGGTGTGAGCAGTTGCCACAGTTGTTAGGCGAAACCATTGGCTTAGGGGAGAGGAAACTTTAAGTGTAAGTTCAGAGGGTGGAGGGTTAATACAAAAAATCTTAAACATCATTCTGATAAACTTAATATTATGTAAGGTTAGTAAAAGCCAGGGGATGGCAGATGCTCTACTGCAGTCCTCTCACTCTCCATCCTCTTAAAATCACCATTACTTTCTTCTAGATGAAGTCTGTTTAAGAACAAGACATAAGTGGTGTAGACACTATACAGAAACTAAAACCATTTCTATTTTATAGACTTAATATATGGCATTGATAACACACTTATTAATAAAAAAATATCTGTTTAATAACAATAAATTATGGAAAAATAAAATGTCACAAATATTAGATATAAGGTAAATGTTACTGACACTTGATTGGGCCTAGTTGTCATCAAATAAATAACTATTAATATTATAGACATGTAAAGACTATTAATATTATAAATTTAACTATTATTAATATTATTATTTTCTTTAATTTAAAAAAAAGATAATTCCCGGATTATGATTATAATCCTGTGTCGCAGTGGACTTTACAAACATACATGAAACAGACAAAAAGAACATCCAGATTTAGGACAACAATTTCTGGATCTTAGTTAGGAGACTCACAACACTTAGTGCAGTTGGAAATGGCGAGCACTCCTCTCAAACCACAAATCCGTGCAGCAGAAATAGGGCACAGACGACCATCTTACTTCTCTACAGTATGGTAACCAGACTGTTGATCTACATACTTTTTTTATTAATAGATACATACATATTACAGAAAAAAATATATATTTATAGTATCATATAGTACCTACATATAAATTATACATATGCATACCTAGTGTGTCTATGTAGTTTAATATCTTGCAACTGATAACAATTTAAAATAATTTATCTCATCTGCGCTAATTATACACCTGTGACACACAGCTCTGCATCACCCAAGGGTTGAGTGGTAGAAAATGTCTATGGCATTAGGTCCACCTTTTGCAAAGTATATACAGAAAGTATAAAATAAAGAAAAAATAAATTACATCCTCCAGACATAAATAATAATTGTGCTCATCATACAATTATTTTTCTTGGTGGGAATGACTCATCAACACTCGCAGTCAGCATCAGAAATTACTGACTGTTGGTCTTTTAAAGAAAGGTTTGTTCAAACAAACACATCCATGTATTGATTTTTTTTGTATTTAAGAGTTGATATAAAGTTAGAAGTTAAAACTTATGCTGTGAGATGAATTGATGTTATAAAGGCTGTGGCATGTCTCAATAAACGCACAGAAAACGAGAACAAGAATGTAGAGGGTCCAAGAATATAGAATAGAACAACACGAGATTAGGGCTTTTATATAAACGTAAAAAGATAAATATTTTTCGAGTGTTGTTTAAAAAAATCCTATCTAAGAAAAAGAGTCTGTATAAATCAAATTGTAATAAGTAGCAATAATTTTGTTATTTTTTTTAGTTCTTACCTTTTAGTCTTCGAAGGCGCGCAAGAAGACTGCGGAGTCTTTTTCTTCTTTACATCATTGCAAAACTTCCAGTTTTTCTTGTTCTTATAGAACTCCAAGCGATAGATAGATATCAGATCTGGTTTTTTAGATTTAGAACTAATTGACGCCATTGTACCTACTGTACACTACAAAATGCCTGAAAGTACCTACGGTATGACCCTGCACTTTGAAGTTTATCAACAATAATTATTAACAATTTGTGCCCTTACTGACTTGTTGAAATTATAAAACTTGAGAACAATGAACTAGAAACTTAGTTCGTTTACAATATTAAAGTAAATCTAAAAAGACAACAATAAATATTGCGGGTAGACAGACTTCGTGAAGTTTTCTTCCAAAATGCATGTAACGAATAAACAAACTTATTTTTGTCTCTTTTACACTTATGATTCGTAACGGGTTTATAGTCGTGTAAAAGTATATCGCCACCACATACTTATAGTTTTTATTTTGTTGTTGATCTTCTTGAAGTAAGAAATACATGATTTTAATGACTGCAGTTCTTGTGTATATTTGCGTCAAACTTTAAATTTGGGGTATGATTTTATTTATCAAGACCATTGACTGAGGTAACTTATTTTAAATTGCCGAGCAAATCATGTAAATTCTAAACTACAGAAAAATCAAACTAACTTACTCCAAAGAGTTTTCAAACTACAGAATTCCATGTCGATGTTTGCATAAATTTCAAATAAATTTATCATACCGAAATATATAAGAGTTAACTATTGCAGCTCACAATTAAGCTTTTAGGATTTTCATAGGCAGGCACGAATTAGATAATTATAATCGTTCACTGTGTGTACGAAAAAACCAATTCTATAAACTTTTATAAACCCTCCCGCCACTTCATGTCAGGTGATTCGTACATCTTGAAACGACCAAAGCCGAACAACTACAATATTAAATATTTTGATTTGAGCAATTTGTTACACAGATTGGTTTTGCAAAGTAAAATGTTTCTTGAAGAGCGCTCAGTGGTGGAGTGCTAAGTATTCAAGTGATGGGTATGCGTGTTTTGCCCGCGATGACGAGGGCGTCTAAAGTCTAAACGTGGCGACTCCCACATACAAAGAAACAGAAACACACTACGAAGACGCATCGAACTACGGAGTAACTCCTGAATGAGAATTGCTAATCGCGATATAAAGAATTCTCAAAACAACTTCCCAACTTTGAGGGGCATGTCACCCGTTCCTCCACAAATTCTTTAATTTTTTTACAAAAGCTGGCGATGAGAAGGTGACGAAATAATATTAAATATTGCACGTTATAAATATTTTATTACAATAAATTCAATGACCTATACAAAGTTTTAAACTATCAGCTATATTTCACGATTTGTTGTTGGATGTATTATTTTTTTTAATTAGATCGAGCTACAAAAAAAAGTTATTTTGTAGTTAGCTAAGGAACCACACTCACACATATGAGTATTAAGATTTTGAGCTCAATTCAAATAAGATGATCTAAATAATTAGTTGGGAGTAAAAGAAAAACAATTTTTTTTAGGAACTCGTCTGCCGTTTTTGAAACAACAAAGGTAATCCATTCAGTACACTTTGAACGATGCTACTTTTAGGGTTCACAACTGGGTGTCGCAGAGTCTCCGGAGCTGGGCTGACTGTGAAGCAGGAAAGGACTGCCGCTAGACCTGCAAGGGACTGCATCAGGCCAAGACGTTCACCTGCAAGGCCATAAAAAATATTAATTGAATTATTGCATAACCTTGGAAATTCAGAAACGTTAGTGTTTACAGATATTTTTATTTCATTTGTACCTCGTGCACCGTTAGCTCATACGTTAGCTGTAAAGACAAAATTTTAGAAAACATTTTTTGTTTTGTCAGTACGTTAGGGATTAATGGTAGTTTTATAAATTACACTACCTACTCGAATTTAAGGGCTTTTTTACCTTATCTCACCCGTCCTCGTGACAATTTTGAGCACTCTCGTGTAATGTATTTGCAGTAGGTATTGCATATATTATCATCATTATCAACAGCCTTTAATAGTCTACTGCTGGACATAGGCCTCTCCTTAGAAAGGTTTTGGCCTACTATACCACGCTGGCCAGACGGGTTGGTATAGGGTTTGTGTCAAGCTTTCCTTCTCTTTACAGTGCTGTTGTCCTGCATAGTTGCTCCCTTAGTCGGCTCTTACGACACCCACGTATTCTAAATCCGGACCGAACAGCATATATTGTGTAAAAAAATAATGATGGAATGAATATTTCAGTTCGTACGAACTAGATCCCAATACAACAGTTCAGAATCAAATGCTAATGTACAATTCTCTTTTTCAGCCTCACCTCGACGATACAGACGGCCGTCTGATCCCAAACTAGGCAGCGCCTGTACTATGGTAACCAGACTGCTGATAAACAAACTTGTATATTTTTAAATACATACATATTAAAGATAAATTACACCTAGACATCGATCAAATAGTTTATCATAATATTCCCTTGTTTATAAAACTCGATTCGTTCATGATCAGAATATACACTCACCTATACATGCTCTGGGTCCATCACCGAACGGCAAATAAACGAACTTCTTACTGGAATCAAACTCATCAGGACTGAATCTCTCTGGTCTGAATACTTCTGGATCCTTGAAGTATTTAGGATCGTTGTGTATCGATTGCAAGGGTATCAGGACCCTAGTGCTCTTGTCTATGCTGAAGTTCAGTTCGGGGAAGGTATAAGGCTTCGTGCACCGTCTCAAGAGAAAACCGAGGGAAGGGAACATACGCATTCCTTCCTTGAAGACCCATTCCAAGTATACCATTTCTTTGACTGCATCATAGCAGAGTTTGCCGTCGTGTTTCTTCAGAACTCGGTCAATTTCGTCCTGTAAAAGAAAGTAATATCAAGAAATATTTAGAGAATAATTGAATCAGGAGATATTGGTAATCTAGTCTTTTTTAGACCAGATGGACAAGAGATCGCTTGAAAGTCGAACTGTATCGAATGTCTTCCTTCATTTCGTCGAATTGTGTCCGCGTAGACTTCTGTACCACGGCAGATGAACATGTAGCATGTGTTCTAGCAGTATTAACTGTGTATTTTATCATTATTTAGATTTCCTTCAAAAGACCACAGGAAAATATGAAGAGTAATGATGAAGAAATATTTTTTCATGATTACTACAGAATGTAAACACTGACCTGTGCTTTCTTCTGTATATCTTGATTGTAAGCAAGCTGATGCAGCGTGAAGCTAGTCGCCGAAGAGGACGTTTCAAAACCAGCCGCAAAGAAAACGAACACTTGTGCAGCAATCAGTCCGTCATTGAACTCCAACCTGGCCTCTTCTGGTGTGCCGTCCGGCTTCTGCCTTTCCAGTGAGTCGCCAACAATAGTACCCTTCATCCGGCATTCCAGCATGAGATCTATAAAGTCATTCCTTCCAGAAGGCTTGTTATTTCTCATCCTCAGGATTTCTCCAACCAGCTCATTCATATCCTTGTCAATACGAACCCACATCTTTAAATTATAAAATATTTCTGGAAAGATTTCTTTTAATATTGCCTTAATGATATCCTTGATTTCAAATTCAAATATCTTTCTACCGAGTTTTCTGAAAGCTGAATTTTCGTCCTTCAACGAGTCGGCGTCCAGCCCGAAGCCACAGGCGCCGATAAAATCTGTAGTGTACCTTGCCATTATATCCCTGGCATCAACCGCCTTGCCATCAGCTGCAGCTTCAAGTGTTATAGCTTTTAGCCTTTCTGCCCGTTCCACGATCAGCGGAAACATCGCTTTTAGCTTTCCCGTTGTGAAGGCTGGAGTCATTCTCTGTCTGAGTAGCTTCCAAGCATCTCCATCAGCGAAGAATAAATTCTGCATCAATGGTTCAAAAATTGTGTTATGTGGGTTAAAGCCCCGTTCGAAGAATGACGTGAAATCTGTCATTAAGATTCTTTTGACAAACTCCGGATCTCTGATGAGCAGTTCTGGACGCGTAGACCGGTAGAAGCCGACAACCCGTTCGTTTGGATACTTCCAGTATAATTCGTCAGCTATTTGTGTCATGCTGGATTTGAACAAGCATCCCATCAAGTTGTTACCGACGAGGGGCAGGGGTTTGTCATGCTTGACCCCTCGTTTCTCCCAATACTTAAAGGTTCGGGTGCCGTAGAAGTAGAGGCTTATGATTATAATCACAATGATGGCAGCGGTGATCATTTTTGAAGTATACGAATTGTCTGTGATTTCATTTACTGTGTTCCTGTATTATGTTATCTGAAACAACATGGCGATACAGTCAGGGTTATGTTTACAATCGTATAGGTTAAATGTGAGTACAAGGATATTGTCTTCATTCTCAACTAATTGTTTGTTACAATTTTCAGAATTAACTACTTAATCAATCATCACGAAAGCACAAGGGGTACGTGATACTTTTCACCCAGAAAAAAATACCCACTTCTTTTTCTTTTTTATGGTACAAACGGGAAACGCGCCACTTGATGCTAAGTGACCACCCACCACCCATGGAGACCTAAAACTCAAAAGTGATGTGCTTTGCCGCCCTTTGATCCATCCCCCAGAAACAGTGGGAGGGAGGGTTTTGATCAGGCCCGTCTCTAGCCTGTGGAGGCCCTTTGCAAATAAGCGTAACGCTCCTAGGAACTTAGCTGAGCACTATTTTGTTAGAATGGACAAAAAAGTATTGTAAGTAGTCAGTCATTACAAATGGATTTTTCGAAATAATTATGTGATCTGGCAGGAATCGGGCCCCTATCAATCGAGGAGCTTTGGGCATGTGCCCAGAGTGCCCAGCGGGAAAGAGGGGCCTGGTTTTAGTCTCTGGTAACCTCACTCACTCGGTGAAAAGCCACGAAAGGATTGCTTAACACCGGCATTCAGCAGCGAGGCCATGGTCTTCTGGTCGTGCTGGTCTTTTTGTACCGAAGCATGGCTCTAAAGTTTCTAAGGGACACCTGAACTGATTGATCTTACAAAAGCTAGCGGACCAAAGATAGTTACAACTATATAAAATATAATTAATAGAGCTGTAAACATATATCTCTTGACAAAAGTGCAACTAAATAAACACGTATGTGAATACTGACTAAAGCTGAATTATGAAGAAACGGATGTACCCCTACACATAGCGAAGTAAATTTAGTATGGCTTACGTCTTCATAAATACACACACATACAAATGCACGCACGCATTTTTTTTTACTTTGTTAAACTAAAATAATTTATACACGAATCTTATTACCCTTATGTAAATGGCCAAGATATCTGAGAGGATTGGCGCTGATAACGGAAATACAGTTTGCATATTTCTTTAACAGACGCTAACATTTTTACCTATTTATACTTAAGAAATGTCACCCCCTGTATACATTTCTGAAATATAACTACGGTATTTTTTATAATTTATTTATTATTATTACGTATATATTTTATATACTTTTTATTTTAAAGACAAATGTTTGTTCGTTCGTATAATATTCGAACTGATAATAAAGACAGACAGAGAATTGATCCTCGAAGAGTTGCTCTTTATTTTTGATGTATGGAAAAATAAATATATATATATATCAAAATGAAATATTAAATATATAGATACAACTGGCAGTACCCTGCCACGCTTTGCAATGTCACATTCTGGTTGCATTAATGAGAAATGAAGAATGAAATGACGCAAAAAACAGATAAAAAGCCGCGTGGTGTCGTGGGACACCCGATAGGAACGAAGTTGTGACGATCGAGTAAAACTGATTCGACACGATTTTAATTACAACGCCATCTATGAAAGCGGCTATTACCTACATATTTTTCAGTTGGTTTCTAATTAAAACAATTTATACATTGGTAAAATCTCCTTGAGAAATAAATTCCTATCTATTCGATAGATGGCGCTGAATGACTGACAAGTGACAATTCAAAACAATAAAAAGTGTCGTCACAACTTTTCGTGAGATTTTTTTCCGTCTAGCCCCCTTTCACAACGCGCGATAAGGAACTTCGTTCCAAAAACAATATTTGAAGCGGTTGGGTTATCGTGTCAATCGGTGCCAAAACTTCATGTTTTAAAACGTAAGTACACATCCTTACATGTCTGTGTGGTGTCGGATTAAGAATACAGAGCGTCGCCACCCCTATTCATCCTGTGGATGTCGTAAGAGCCGACTAAGTGAGCAAACTACGCAGGACAACAGCACTGCAAATAGAAGGAAAACTTTACACAAACCCTGGCCAGCGTGGTATAGTAGGCCAAAACCTCCTTTCTAAAGAGAGGCCTATGTCCAGCAGTGGACTATTAAAGGCTGTTGATAATAATAATATAATATATTTTACTACATTCACACAACGCCATCTAGTCCCAAACTAAGCAGAGCTTGTACTATGGGTACTAGACAACTGATATAAATACATATATACTTTTTTTTTGTAAATACATACATATTATACATAGAAACACCCAGACCAAATCAAACATAAAATGTTCATGCACACAAATGTTTGACTTGAGCGAGAATCGAACCCGCGACCTTTGGATAGCAGTCCGTTACACAAACCACTACACCATCCGGTCGTCATAAAGATGAAGATTGATGAGGTACACATCATCTGCCTACCCTTATCCCAATTTTATTTGGGGTCGGCGCAGTAAGTATTCTTCCATTCCACTCTATATTTCGTAATCTCACTGGTTCCTGCCTTCCTAGCCATATAGCCTTAAACAAACCAACTTAATACCGACCAACAAAATACAGATAGATCTTATCGCCCTGTTCTCTTAGTGTTATTTCCATTAATGTTAAGGGTCCAGGGGACGTAAATAAAATGGCAGTGGACTGTATAACTGGTATTTTAATCGCCAGGTCTTTACACGATATGTAGTGTGAGGTTGAAGTCGGACCGTCCACGGTTGTGTCCCAAAGCGAGCAACGGCTGTTTTATATCCTCTGCTCCTCCCGGCTCGGTCCCCCACTCGTCGCACACGTCCGGGTAGTCCCCCCGCACGCCGCGCTGTTGCCCATTGTAGTGCGTTTAGTTAAATCGCAGTCGCAACATGCTCCCCCGGTTGAAGGCTGGAGGCTTCAAAATCTGGAAGAGGACATATGTTATTATATGCCCTGCGAATGGTACCGCCTGACGTTCTAAGCTCTGCCACTCTGGAGATGCCGTCGCTTCCTGGGTAGAGCCTGATCACTCTTCCTAAAGCCCATAGAAGAGGAGGAAGAGCCTTATCCTTAATAATGACCAGAGATCCCGGTTTCAGCTCGGACCTTGAAGATCTCCATTTAGTCTTTGCCTGCAGCAAAGAAATGTATTCCATCTTGAAGCGATTCCAAAAGTGCTGCTTTATAACTTCTATTCGCTTAAAGCGCTCAAGAGCAGTGATGTTGCTGGATGACACCTCTGGATGCGGAATAGCTACAAGTGGTCGTCCAATTAAAAAATGAGCTGGAGTTAAGGCGGAAAAATCACAGGGATCAGAGGACAGTGGGGTCAAGGGACGAGAGTTTAAAACTGCCTCTATTTGGGTAAGGCAAGTAGCCATTTCTTCGAAGGTAAAATGAGTTATTTGCAGTAACCTACGAAGATGATGCTTAGTTGAGCGGACGGCAGCCTCTGCTAAGCCATTGAAGTGTGGACTAGAAACAGGTACGAATTTGAAGGTAATTTCCTCACGCGCAACAGAACCCTCGAGGTCCGAGTGCGCGAAGAATTTGGACAGTTCATTAAAAGTACCCACAAAATTTGTACCATTATCCGACGTGATACTAGAAGGCTTACCACGTCGAGACACAAAACGATTTAAGGCGGCTATGTAAGCTTCGGTCGATAGCGCCGTTACGAGCTCTAGATGACAGGCCTTTACAGAGTTGCAAATAAAAATAGCCAAATAACATTTACTAAGTCTGCAACCTCTACCTTTCCGATCTGCTACTAACACTGGCCCAGCATAATCCACAGAACAGTGCAAAAAGGGAAACTCTAATTGAGTTCTTGATGTCGGTAACTGTCCCATTACAGGCTGAACAGTTTCAGCTCGATACCTACAACACCGAACACATTTATGGTAAACAGCCTTAGATAGGTTTCTACCCCCTAAGGGCCAATATGTCAACCTTATGTTTGCTAAAAGTAGTTGTGGACCAGCGTGTAAATATTTTAAATGAAAGTAATGAAATAGAATTTTACTAAAATGATGTTTACTACAAATTAAAATGGGATATTTAGTATCAAAACTATATGGGGAATTACTAAGTCTGCCACCGACTCTTATAATATCATTTGAGTCTAAAAATGGTGACAAAGAAGAGAGTCTATTCTTGGTAGGCAGTGTCTTCCCAGTTTTTAAAATAACATATTCATCGGGAAACATTTCTAATTGAACCTTGCGTAGTATTAAATATATTGAATTTTGTAGTTCTTTTACTGAAAGATATCCCTTTAGTTTAGTTTCGTTTCGACAATTATAAATAAATCTTTGTAAATAGGCTATTGATCTTTGTAAATACGAGAAATTTGAAGTGTTATTTATCAGATTACAGATTAAATCATTATTAAGAATATTGTTGTGTAATATAGAATAAGATTGTAAATCAGGTAAATCGTGCTTCTCATTAGCATTGGGCATTTTTGGCCAATCAGTTTCATGATTTAATAAGAATCCGGGGCCAGACCACCACAAGGAAGAATTACTGATGGAATCAGCCTTCACCCCCCGAGAAGCAAGATCCGCTGGGTTGTCTTTCGAAGGTACGTAGCGCCACTGGTGATTCTGAGTACTATCTTGAATTTCATGAACACGGTTTCGTACAAAACTTTTTAATTGCAGTGGTGATGTAGTCAACCATCCAAGGACGATGGTTGAATCACACCAAAATATACACTTACTTAATTTACTCAAGGTTAAAGAGGCTAGTACTTTAGTAAACAGCCTTACAGCGAGCAAGGCTCCACAAAGCTCCAGACGAGGCACCGTCGTGGGCTTTATCGGCGCTACTCTATTTTTAGAAGTCAAGAGGTTTACAGTAACTAGACCTGATTTATGCACAGACCGTATATATAGACACGCACCGTATGCTCGTTCTGAAGCATCGGAAAAAATGTGAATTTCATGACTATAAACATCTTCACTAAGAACCCAACGGGGTATTTTTAATTCATTAAGAGAAGGTAGAATATTAGCAAAATTTAACCAACGATTTTTA